TTCTAAAAAAGACAATAATATTGAAAGTTATAGAGTATAAATTAAGGTCAGACAATTGCAATATCTTCTCTAGTGAGCCTGATCGAGGTACATAATAGTATAGTGGCAGAGACGGGATAAGGCCGCTGACTTCAAATCATCTTTCATTCACTGCTGTAGTTGAAATCCAATCATGACAATTGATTCTTTGTATGTGAGGAATCTATCAAGCTAATTTACGAAAGGTCGGTGGTTCTTGTCAGGTGCCCGCTCGTGTTTGAAATGTTTCACAAAGGGTATCTGGGGTCTTTCTTTACACTAAAGCAGGAATGTTTTTACATGACCTCAGTGTCGTTGAAACTTTAAATCCAAGAAAGCCAAACGTAACATACCCTTTTAAATACTTACAAAATACATAATGGTAGATGGAAATTCAAACTCAAAATAAATTTAAGATTGCAGTATTGCTCACTTAAATACTGTTTAATCATTCCTAGGATATTGCCTTCTTGTTAATTGTGTCTTTTGACGGCTTATCTATGGTATGCAGGCTTCATAACATCCGATCCCCTCTCAAAATTTCATTTTATTTAGTGTCACTCATTGTTTTCTCGTTTAGGGCACACGCATATTTTAACCTGGGGGTAATATGCCGCTTTTCATAGAATGGCAATAACGTGTTACATTCAAGGTTCCATGATAACCGCCATATGAACACATCTACAGATGTTAAAAAATCTAAAGTGTACCAGTTCATGTTTAATGTGAATTCTGCTGAAGCCGGTACTAGGAGGCGTGGACGGTAGCTTGCAGTTACCACTATCGTCTATGAACATATTTAATCAAACTGAGCCTGCAACATTTTCATGTTTTCCGTGTTGGACTTCTGTTAAGGATTCTTTTTTTCTCTATTTTATTACTAATAGGCATTATTATAATGTGTAATGAAATCAAGCAATAATCTTTCTTTTCTCAATACAATTCGATAAAAGTTACTGTTGTTGTCGTGAAAACAGTCCTTACTTAGGACATTACTTATTCTGCAAAAAGTCTCAATCTGAAACTTAAAGTAAGAAAAATAGCAAACTATAACTTTTCTGCTGAAGAAAAAAAGTAATACAACCTTTCAAGAATGTATAAAAAAGAAAGGTATGAGTTATTTTATAAAAATAATGGGTTTGGAAATTGGCAAGTATCTAAACTGTAACCGAAATCTGGGTATAAACTGTAACAAAATAGAATCAAATTCGCTAGGTCAATGATGTAACCCTTCAAAATTAACCTCGCTCGATACTGTAACATTGTTTATTTTTTCAAACGAATTTTACCAACAGGAAAATAGGTTCAACAGGTCATTTACTTTTATAAACGTTTCTAAACACAAAGGACTAACGTTTTGTAGATTAACTTTATAAAGGCATGCTTTAATAATATCGGAATTGGAGAAAAATGCATTGGTCTCTCGATTCAAAGTTTTAACCCGTCAAATCTACTCATTTATGAGACAATATAGAGATAAATCTGCGGTGCAGGGTCTGAAGAAATATATGACTAGATACCGGATTCTGTTCCTTACAAGCAAAGCACAAAAACAAGTTTTAGAAACTAAACTACTAGTAGTATGGACCTGAATAAAAATCACCTACCTCTCTTCCCATAAATAATCCTCAATCTTGAAAATTCTATACTGTAACCGAAAAACGCGATACTGTAACACGTTCCCTACGGCGGTTAAAGCATCTAAATATATCATGTATATATCATTTCCTTTTGTTAATATCGTCGTTGAATGTTTATTTCAGTACACGATTCAACCTGGAATTTACATTTGAAAATAGTTCTGTGTAATGCTTATCAATGTATTAAAGCAAATTTTCATATTCTCTTTAACGATATCAGTAAGCACAAAGCAAAAGCAAACATGTATCTGTAACATGTTGGGAACCATTTTCTTGGCAGTTTCCGTCAATAGGTTGAATCATACACGGTGTATTGACACACACAAAAATCAGGCAAACAAGTGCAATCCAAGATGAACAACACAACAGGACAAAAAGTAACTAGGAAATTGCCGTTTCAGAAGACGAATTTTCACATTTCTTCCGACATAAGTACTCAGGAACCTGCATTATTTTCACTGACATACTATTATTTCTGTCGTCATCACGTACCTTAGTAAACTCCTAGCCTAGCACTTTTGAGGCTAGTTGTATGGAAATCAAGCTCATCTGAGGACAATGTCCTCAAGGTGAGCTTTTGTGATGGCCCATTGTCCGTCGTCCATCATCCGTCCTTTCGTGCGTGCTTCTTGCATGAAGTTCTACCAAAGTTGTTCAAATAATTAAATTTCATAAAAAATTCTGAAAAAGAAAGATTTTTTTTCACAAAAATCTTTAAATTTTTTCTTGTTATAAGCCGAAAATGCTAGAGCTTAAATATTTGGCATGAAACATCTTCTTGTGAAAGACTTCCACGTTTGTTCAAATAAAGCCCAAGGTCAAAATTGGCCCCGCCCCAGGAGTCATTGATTTTCCTAATTTGTATAAAGTAAAAACCCCGAAAAAATCTATTGTGACAATCCAAAAGCACTATATAATATAAGATATGTAGCATGAAACATCTTCCAGTGGATGTTTACCAAGTTTGTTAAGAAAAGTTTCTAGATAATTATTATTAAAAAATATTTGATGCCCGATTATATTTGACAAAATCTGATGTTTTTTCTTACACCATCTTCTTCTTATTTCACGTAAAATGTCAGGTACCTGTCTCAATAAACAAAACATAATCTTTCCATATACATTTAACATTGATTATTTTTAGTTATTCAAAACTATAGTTATTTATTATAACTTTTCAAGTAAGGAAAATATACAGTAAGTGAAACTTTTCTACCGATAAAAAAACATATAATTTCTGTTGCGTAAAACCGATACAAATGTCGATTGTCAATATGTTTCAAATAGGATGGTAAACTTTTATTTTATGTTCAGAATAAAGGAAAATTTAAAAACATTAAGGTTGACCATGGGTAATGCATTAACTCTTCTTTGAAGAGTATTCAAATAGGATAGAATCACTTGTCGACTCCGTTGAAATTGAGGAGCGTGGGTTTTGAATGTGACCATAATAACAGTTGTTTTCGCCGAAAAAAAGATATACAAAAGACATCCAATGTTAGAGGCGGATTGTAAACTGTTACTAATATTAATTCAAGATTAAAGGGCTTTTTTCAGATGAAATAATTCATTCAGCTAATGTACCTTTTGATTAAATGAGAGTAAATTTAATTTCATTAATTATCTTTGTTTATATTTATTACATTCATTTATCTGTCTAGATCTATTTTATTTTATTGATTCCATTTTATTTTGCTACTGGGAATGTTCGTTAACACTGCCCCATTGGGGCCTCTGTGAAAAAACTAGAATGATATATACAAAGTGCGAAAAAACTCAACCGGTTGAGTTCTTTCTTTTCGCACCTGTTATATATCAATGTAGTTTTTTTTTCACAGAGGCTCCAATATGACAGTGGTAACGAACTTACCCATTAGCAAAAAAAACGGAATCAATAAAATAAATAAATAAATACAATGAAAAATAAAAAACAAAGATAATTAATGAAATGAAATTTACTCTCATTTATTCAAAACGTACATATGATGTTAAGTCAGTCGCAGTACTTCGTCAAGAAAAACCAACTCATTACCTTAAATATCAATCTGTCTGTGCCCTTTAAATGAGTTGAATTGTACATACTGCTTAGTCTCTCTTGTAATGAATGTAGAAGATAAATAATGTAGTGGTAGATTAAGAGCGTGTAAACATATTAAAGATTGCCATAATAAGTTGTCAATCGAAAAAATCATTTGCATGCTCTTTAATTTGTTCTGCCTAATCAGAGACAAGCCACTTATCTATGAAGGGACTTCAGTCATCCCCTTTTGGTAGTAAGATGCTATGATAAGCTTTGTAAAAAATAACTTTAGCCTACCCACATTCCTAGTGCAACACAAAATTTATGGATATTATTTTGACATTTTTCTTGTATCATGTCCTGTGGACTTCCACAATATTAATAATTATTGATATTAATAATAATCAAATATCTGTATTGCTTTTGTGGTACACTGTTTCTGGTTTCATTCAAATAATGATTGACCTTGCGTAGAGTCTTTTTTGAAATACCCTTTTTGGAAATGAAATGCTTAAATGTCAAGTATTCGTTATGTATCATCGTCTAATTAGCCTCCTTCATAATTAACGAAATCTGATTACATATCAGTTGACCAAGATTGTTCTACCTGAAGACCTATTTCTCTTTTTTAAAGCTTTTTTAAATCATATTCACATGAAGTATTATGTACTGCAAATGTTAATACGCATTATAAGTATTCATTATATGCATTCATTTTTTTATTTAAAAAGATTGGCTTAGACTTTATGGAAAACAAATTTCTAATTACCTCCCTTTATTTACATGAGATGTAAATTCGGTAATATCTTTGCAAATAATGCTTTTTGGAACTTACATCTTCATTTGAGAGTCATATTTATGATTGAATACATTAAAAAATTGAGTTACAGGATCATTAAATTGTTATCTTTAGAACAAAAGATAATGTGAAAGTGTTTATGTTTTATCATTATTTATATCACCACCGATTATTGTTTTACCAAAATTCAACAAAACGGATGTAATTGTTATCCCAGACTACAATAAATGATATTCAATTTAGTTTTGAATTTTTTTACTAGATATTTATTTATATTGATCACATAAAATGATTATTGAATCATTTTCTCTTTAAAAAAGGTTACTGTTGTTTTACATGAATTAGAATAATAAAGTCTTAATCTGAGTTATTTGACAGAAACACAATCTGTCAAAGTATCGAAATCATTAACATAAATTGTTTATATAATGATTACGGTTCTAAGCATAATTACATGTATAAGAAGTGTTTAAAGCAATTGTTAAATTTTGAAAAATAACTTGTACGTTTCATCATTTACAGATGTGGGTATAACCGATGTAACAAATCAAGAAGTAAACAAAATGGCAACCGGAGGTCAGCCACAGACGCTAGATAACCGTATATTTTTGTTTCGGTTACAAATACTAGTCATTGATGGTGGCCTCCTGATATTGAGAAATATACTGGACCAGTCCTTGACATCTCTGTGCATAACGTTCAGTGCGTGCTTGAATAAAGAAAAGTCAACAATAACACTTTTGAAAAGCCGCGGTGTTATAACCCAGGTCCAATATGACGTGTTGTTTCCAGCGGGTGGTAAAGTCCCAACTTCGTCAGATTTGGACATCACGCTGATTATTTGTCTTCTTAGAAACCTGAAATGTTTTGGATTAAATAAAAAATTTGACTGGAAGGCAACACCAGCACAAACCGATGTAACAATTGAAGCAGACATATGTCGGTTAAAGAATTTCCGAAATAAAGTAAGTACATGTATATTCGAAATGCAATTTATAAATTCATGCCTTGGCAATACAGAAGAATAAAAGTAAATGTATATATTGTCAATATAAATATCTACGTATTTTAAAAGTAACGAAATTCTGCTAAAGTTTAAGTTAAATATAATTTAATCAATCATCATACTTAAAACATATAAAATAGTACAACATTTAATATTGTCTAGAACGCCAAAGACGCCTTTTCGGCTTCCGGTAAAATGGCGGTGAAACCAATATAAATTTTCAGGAGAGAAAAAGTTGAAAAGTTGCTGTAAGATATGTTCTGAAAAGCTGGATTTATCTCTAATTGCTAAAACTAAAATGTGTACTTATGTGTACTAATGTGTACTTAAGCATCACATTTGTGGCCAATTTTGTAGACAAAGTCATTATAAGGGCAGACGACCATTTTTCTTAATTTTCATTTTAAGCTATACACTAAAGTATCGTTCAGAAAGGTGAACTATTTACGTTCAATGACTATGTGATCATTGTACACAAAAATTTAAGTACACATACAAATAGGATGGCAAAAACGTGTTTACATCCTGGGAATCGCAATAAATATAACATTACAAATAGTGTCAAATATGTCGGAAAATATCGTTACTGGGACTCCATCAACTGGTGTCAAACGAACCATTAACCCGACTATCAGCCCGCAGAGCCTTCTTATTGACGCTCCAAGGTCCTAGAAGATCTCGAAATTCTCTACCGGATATACTTACTGCGTGCCAAAAAGAATCAATCACAGTACCTGATATAGCCTCAATAATCCATGCAGCAGTATCAAGCACACCTGTGATTTGAAGCATTGTAGGACGCCATGTTGCCAGTACTAACTGAGGCAATAGAACATTCAATTTAACCTATCTTAAATAAAATTGAAAGTCAGGAAAAAGAAATTGTAACGATGAAATCAGAAATTTTTGAACTTACACATAAAAATGAATACTTGAATGTGTCTATTAGCACCAAGGAAAAAGAAAATAAATGCTGGAAGAAGAAACTAATCGAAAATAATGATCAAGTAGAAAATCTCGAGACCAGCTTGGATGAGTTAGACCAGTTCATTCTTGACATATGCCAGAAAATGAAAATTACTCCATCGGTATCATTAGATCAAATAGAAAGATCACATATTATTGCAAAAGTTAATGATAAGAAATGTCAAATTATTGTGAAATTTAATTCATAGAGAACCAAACATCTAGTCTACAGTAAAAAAAGACACTCAATCTATGTAAAACACATGAGTTCAATGTATTCATTTCTAAAGACCTCACTCGTGAACGGCAACGTATTATGCACAATCTATCACAACTCGCAGAGATAAAAATATTCACTCGTATTGGACTTTGGGCGGCAAGATCTTCTTTAAAGAGTACGAAAAAAGGTAAACGTAGACCAGTTAAAGCAATCAATGTAATAAAGAACTTTATCCCTGACCCAGACCCAGAAAAACATTTCAGACAATGGTCGAAAATCCCTTGAAGGATTTGTGAAAACCAATGTGCCCAATTAACGCTGCTACAAGTATGTGATTGAAACTATAAAGTGCAGATAATTAACGTCGAAGAATTCTTGAACATACTGACCATACATAAGTTATTTGGAATGAACAGTTACATATTAAGTACAAGTTATTCTTTTGCACTAATTTGCATGTGACTTTTCCATCTTGCCTTTAATCTTGAACCGTTAATGCAAAAACGTAAAATCTTATAATAGTGTTATTAGGGTAATTCTGCTTTGTCAACCATGTTTGTTTTCAGTAAGTAGGTCTAAAGTGAAAGTAGGTCAAAATTCATATAACAACAAAGCTCACAATGTAAAATGATAAACCATTTGAAAGTAAACTTCCAGGTCTATGTTTTAAGGACAATTATAAACAAAAATTAAAGTAATAACAATAAGAATATTTACCTTGAATGTGCTACATTTCTGAAGACCAAATATAATCTATTACAAAGTTTTATGCACTGTTAATGAATGGTAAAATCCAGTTCAAAGTCGGTTTTAATCTGATAATTGGCTAGACTTCGATACTTTATGCTTCACAGAAACTCACTTAAGTTATAATATCACTGACTCTTCAATTCCTCTAGACGGATATAGTAATTTGCAAAGCGAATACTGTAATTCATATTCTGTTTTTATAATTATGTATCTGATAAATTTATCTCAAACAGCCTAAATAATCTTGCAACTTTTTTTGAAGAGTCTGTTTGGGTTCAAATAAGAAAAACAAATTTTGATATGTACTACATATCGACCTCCAAACTATGCTTATGATTACTGGGATAAAATTATCTTGTGTATAGGAAAGGCCTTTGGACTTTGCCCAAACATAACAATTCTTGTTGATATAAATAGATACCAATTAAATTCGAGTAATAATAATCTTCGAAATATCTTATTATTAAATGGTCTACGTAATATATTACGTAATTTTGGGCCGGAGGCCTATGTTACAAATAAACTTTACTTACTTACTTACTGAATCAGCGGTTGTAATGCCAATCTATAAAAGGGGCAGTAATAACATGCCTGAATTATACACCTATTTCCCTTATAAGTTGTATAGGTGAAGTATTGAGCGAATTGTTTTTAAGCACGTTTATACTTATATGGTGTGTTAGGCACAAAGGGCTTATCTTGAAATTGTGGCAATACGGTATTGATGGTGATATATTAAATTGGTTGAATATATCTTTTAAATCGACACCAAAAAGTTTTTGTTTATTCATCTTTCTCAAGTGAGAAAATAACTACTACGGGCGTCACCCAGGGGTCAGTCTTGGGTCCATTGCTATTTTGAATCTACGTTAATGATATTGATGATAATATATCCAGCATAACCCGCCTCCTCTTTGCAGACTATAGTTCGTTGTCAATTTCCTCTAGCAACATGAATTTGATAGAAAACACACACTAAATACCAGAACAGAACAGAACAGAAAATTTATTTGTCTAACTTGAACATTTACAGTTCATCGTTACATACATACATACATTTATTCACATACATGAGGTAATGTGACATTTTATATAACATATTAATAGATTATTATATACAATTAATACATATATATATAAATGTATCGCTTTATTATGTACTTTTAAATGAAATATTGAGAAATATTGATGAAATAAAATGCGTATTTTCATTTTCCGTATTTTCACTGTAAAAATTTATTTTTCACTGCAGTGAAACATATTTTCCGTATTTTCACTGGTGTCTTGCCGGACTACTTTCTTTTAAATTCTGCCAGTACTCAAAATTTAAGTGAAAGTCTTTTAAAATTTAATGTCCAGAAAGAGAAAAATGTATATAATAAACAGAAAATTCAAGTTTTTTCTATACATACATGATTTATTTTCATCTTGTGGCATGAAAATTACAATATTTCACTCGTGGCTACCGCCACTCATGAAATATTTATTTTCATACCACTCGATGAAAATAAATCATGTATTTATAGAAAAAACTTGAATATCCTCTATGTATTTAATTTCTAATTCATTTTTTTCTTTAAATATATGTTTGAGTACATTCTAGTGATGAGTCATTTATTATGTCTTTTTTTTAATGATTTAATGAATTCCTTCGAACATCAAATGCTTTTTTACAATAATTGGCTAATTTATCTAAAATGTTTGCATTTGTACACTGTAACAATTCAGTAAATTTTAACATACTTGGGCGTGTATAATAATATCTAGGAATGCATTGTTTCCTTAATGTTGTATAAGCTGAGCAAATTAATACAAAACTAAATTCATCTTCAATATCATTACATTGGCATAATTGGCATTTCCTATCATTTCTATCAATATTTCTATGTCTTCCAGTTTCAATTTAAGTTGATGAGACGACAAACGTAATTTAGCAAGAGTATTTCTTGAAATTGTCTCCAGTTATTAACATATATATCCTGAAGCCGTGTACGAAAAATTACTGTAAACTTATTTATATCTACTGAAGAAGGAAACAACCAAACATCATTAAAACCAGCATTTTGTAATAAATCTCTTACTTTTGAAGCCCAATTGACAACATTATTATCTTCAGCAACCTGTCTTAATTTACTTATGGTACTTGATAAAATACAATTATTGTTTTTTTTCATCATGTAACTTAAAAAAATACTTAACAATCCTTATTTCTCTACCTATATATAAAGGGAATCTACCCAATTCACCATAAACAGCAGAACTTGTAGTAGACATTTTAACATTTAATAACCATTTCATGAATTTTCTATGTACTCTTTTTCTGCTTTAATAAAACCCCAAACTTCACTCGAATAATTCAATATAGATGCTGCATAAGAATCAAAAGGATTTAGCATGATATTTACAGGCACTTCTAAATCTCTCGTTATGGCAAAAAGGGACCCCATTGCTTTTAAAGCTTTGTCTGCTAATGTTTTAGTTACATTCATAAAAGATCCACCGCTGGAAAAAACAATACCTAAATAATTAAAACATGAAACAATTTCTAATATTTCCCCATCATAATACAGATGTTCATCTCTATTTATTCTCCCCCCTTTTTTGAAAATAACAACCTTTGTTTTTTCAACGTTCACTTTAAATTTCCACTTCTGACAATAACCTTTTAAATTATTTAATGATTGTTGTAGCCCGTCTGCCGTCTCTGTACGGCGTCGTCAGCAAATAGTAATAGGTAGATAGATAACTGATCTAATGTTAAACACGAATTATTGTCATTTTGTAAAAAACACCTCTATATCATTTACGAATAGTGAGAACAAAATGGGCGAAATTATCTCCCCTTGTAATAGACCGACATCACAATTGAAGAAATCTGACAATGTATCAATATGTCGAACACATAATTTAACCTCATTATACAAAGATCTAATAACATTAAAAAATCTTCCATTTACACCATTCTTTATTAATTTGACCCAAGGGGCATTTCTTTATATTGAATCAAAGCATTTCACTACAAA